GCTTAAGTAGGGCCCAAACCAGTCCCACGACCACTAATGATTACAGAGCCAAACCAAGGCAATATATATACACAGCCCAGGTGTGAATGCAAATAGTGGAATACAAGCTATGTGGCTTGGTTCCAGTAGATACAGAGAATATTTTGTCACTCTTAACGCGTCCTACGAAATTCTTATGAGACAGCACTAGTCCGCGAATTTGTGAACAAGATCGGAGATTTAAAGATGCAATCTCTACCGTGCATAAATGGCGGCCTGCTGGATCTCAAAAAGAGATTCTTTAATGAAATATAAATAAATTTTAAAAGGCAAATGGGAAAAACCCATATATATATATATATATATATATATATATATGTGTGTGTGTGTGTGTTTGTTTTATTATATAAAGTTTGAGCAAAATATACACCATATTTGTTATCTAGATTTACGCATTGTCAACATTTCAAAATAATACAAGCCTGTTTAATACCTGATTTTGACTTAACATTGCAATAATAGATTGGATTACATTAATGTGTAGTTTTCCAGGCGGCGACTACAACAATATACGTAATTCAGTGTTGTAATTATGTATTTTAATCAATAACTATTGTATATGCACTACTTAATAATACCCTACACTATCGCCCGAAGCTAACTCATAATTACTGTATACATTAAAACTTGGGATATTCATAGAAATGATCACCTGTTTGCTTTACATTTGGTTATACATATTTCCAATCTGAGATTATCGTTGATAAAATCAATAAGAACAGTTGATCTCTCTATTCAAACACCCTATTAAATTAATTATTCTTTTTATCGATTCATTGTGTAATATAATATTTATCTAAACTATCATATTTGTTCACTAAAGTTTTGTGTTTTTGCAAAGTATCAAAAACGTTATTTCACAGTTGGCTCCTCTTGTTTTTGTTATTAATATTACTTCTCATTTAATCCATTAGAACAGATTTAATCTGTTTGTTAATATTATTAATGTGTATAATGTTAGGTTGAATATTGGACATCGGTCTACTATAACGTTGTCATGAAGTTAGGCCCCCCTGTACGCTATTCGGGCTACTCTTCTTAGGCCAAACGGCAGGCCGATTTATTTCATATATCGCATCGAAATTTATTTAAAATGGCTTGTAAAAACGACACATCACTGCCAAAAACAAATACCTGTATAAGTATAATAGTAATATTAAATATCATCGATAGAGTGTAATTATATTTTTATCATTATGCAATATATAAATGTATGTAGGTCTATCAAAATGAATTGGTTGACGAATATGACTTTCGTTTGACTGGATTAAGTCGACTTAGAGAATAGGGCCTAGGCTAGGCCTCAAGTTAAAGAAACAAATGGGCATCGGTAATAAGGGCTAGATAAAACGTGATATAAATCCTTGTCTGTCTGTAAATGTAGAGTTGTGGTCGTTTCTACTGTTGTTATTGTTGTTATTATTGTTAATATGTTGTTATTGTTGATTTTAGTGTTGTTATTGTTGAAGCTACGTTGTTGCTGTTACTGATGCTTCTGGTGCTGCTGTTGGTGAAGAGGGTTATATTGGATATAACAATATGGTGTTTATTAATTCTGTAATTATTGTAGTTATTATCATTATTATTGTTTGAATTTAATATTATTATTTTTATTATTATATTACAATAGAATTACAATACGTAGTATGACGATATATTATTTGATATATATTTTCAATTGTGCCATTATATACAGATAGGCCTAAATTCTGAGGACAGAGGTTATTAGAAAGAGCGTTTAACCGTACAGTCAAAAGTCTTACCATATAGGCCTATATATATATATATAGGCCTATATATATTATATACTATATTATATTTATATAACAGTAATATACAGTTAACCTTTCTGCAACCATAGACCTACTAGGTAAGATTAAATACTATAGTTTGATTGCTTTTCACACCTACTTACAATATTCGTTTAGATCCGGGAAGTCTTTTAATTCAAGCAAGGCCGCTCTCTTTGATGTCTCCTAATGACCAGAATTGAGAGCAATTTTGGCCGTGTACTATTCGCATTATTGTTTCCCTTTCTGAATACAATATATGCATGTTTTTGCTTTCATATTGTCATGTTGACTTTTTACCTAATTACCTTAACAAAATTGTTAAATGATCATTTGTTAAGGTCCGAAAAGAGCCATTCATATTTATCTAAGACGCAAAAGATATAGGTCTATATATATAGGCCTATATATATATATATATATATACATATATGTATATATATATACCTATAGCATAGCTGAAATATCTTTATCGAGCCATTTTAATATAGGCATATACGTATTTATATTATAAAAAACCGAAAGGTCCACTGATTAATCTCAGATAAAATAGTATAATACATACTCCAAGTATCGAAATGCACGCCATCGTTTCAGGATTCAATATTTCGACATTAATTATGATGACATAGGCCTAATTAATGGCGAAATATTGAATCCCGACACGCTGGCGTGCATTTCGATACTCGGAGTATGTATTATACTATCTTATAAGCCATTTACTTTTTGTTATATGGATTAAAATATTAGATTTATAGATGTATTGCCATAAAAACTGGTGTTATGTTCACAGTGCTACGTAGCAATTTATATATTGTTTTAGGCCTACATTGTATATTATAGTGTATTTACAGGTTAACTATAGTGTTGATTAGAATGTATGTAAACATACAGTAAATATGTAATACAATAATATATACATACATACTTATTTCAGTTTATCATGGTAAGATTTTTGTGTAGAGTATGTAGGCTTTCGTAATTCTTGGTGTATTACTCAAGATGCACTGAATTCTGCTTATTGCAACTCCTCATTATGCTCCGTAATAATAGCTTGCCGTCTAGCTATATCTTTGCGATTAAGGTAATTGCTACTAATCCCAGGTCTTTGGTTCGAATCCTGCTAAATCTAGGATATTATTTTCTTACGACTAAACAGCTATAAGCCCTACTCTCTAATTATAAGACTTCAGTTTATTGGGTATAGCTTGGTTACGTGGAATATACGTATACTTGCAGGTTAACCAGAATAAATATAAATAAAAGATAGGTCTACATGTGTTTATGATAGCACAGTTATGTATTGCAGATCTAATACTGCCATTTAAATGTATTTATATAATAATTTATGCTTATTGCCGATATTAATTTTGTCCTTGCCTCTTTGGTCACCCGCAAAAGAAGTCCACCATATAAAAATTTATCAGTTAATATAGGAGTATTGTAGGCCTATGCCAACAGACAAAATTATTAAATATGCACAGGCAATTCATTAAATAACCATGTGTAGTATATACCTATTTTTATATTCATATACATAATAGTGTCATAGAGCTGAAAAAAGATTATAAACCTAGTTATTTCATATACACCTAATGCGCCACTATTAAGACAGTAATTCAGAATGTCTATTGTACTTTGCATGCTGCTGAAGTTGAGCAAACGGAAGTTTTAAATGGCCATTCAATAGCATGACGTGTACACAAATTCCTGTCCTCAAATCCTCACTCAAATAAATGTCAAAATAAGAATTCTCTAAAGCACTGCAAATATTTAGGCCGCATTATCAATAAGGCATTACCTACAAAATGATAACCCAAGGTCCAGACGAATAATGAACTCAGAAAGTGCAACGAACCAACATTGTTAAAATGTTACAGAGTGATAACAAACTAATAAACATATATATATAACAGTTATAGGCTTATGAATGGTTTTTTTTTTATATAGAAGTTAATAATACCGGTGAAAATAGTTATTACGAATATTTCGGTTTTATTATAGAACAGTATCATTTAGATTACCTTGTAGTGTTTGGCCACTTCGTTGTAACGCAGCTGAGGACTGGCTTGGCGAGTGAGATATGGAATGAAATTGGCTCTTCATATGCGATAGTTCGTTTTGTCCCATGGGTGATGAAGTAAAAGCGGACCCAGAATTATACGGCGATTGGTGGTAATTAAAATGTGAAAACGTATGTGCTTTCTCGGAATGATGCAGTGGCCAGGGTCCAGTGTCTGCCGACGTGTAGGCCGGGATGGTTGGCGCATTGGCACATGAACCGCTCCCATGATATGGAAATGTGCCCACAAACCCAACGTAACTGCCGTTAGACGGCAACGGCAGATGAGTGTTATTGTTGCCTGCACTCTCGTAAAATGCGCCATAAGAATGGAATGGCTTCGACGAATGTTGCAGTCCCTCTAACTGGGGGTTCGGTATTTTCGTCTCAAACTGTTGCATTCTGCTCACTGGTAGTATGTTCACGTCAAACGAATTATCAATTAATAAACGAATCTTCGGTGCCAATTTTTTACACCGTTGGCTTACACCGATGGTATGTTTTACTAACAGTGGTCAAGGAGTCTGAGTAAAAGCATTATCATGCTATATTTTACGCACGTGTGAAGAAACAGACACTTGATATGTCCACGGTTGAATCCTCTTGTTTATACCTCCAAAGTTCCTAGGTTAGTTTATCGTAAAATCAAAATGTCCATCTAGTGAAGAATTAAGTCTGATTATAAAGGCGAAAGTACAGACGATATTGTTCACCGGTTGTCCCTTGTCCCCCTTGTCATCAGTATTGGTCAGTAGTTCATAGAGTTCACCGAATGCACCCTATGTTTATCATTCAGTAATGGTCACGTGACAGCGACCGACCAACGAAACAAAAGGAATGTTTGCTTCACTTTTGAAATAGTGAAGACTGAAGAAGCACTAACTCGGCGCTTCCTCAAAGAAAAGCGCAAAGGTACCAATTAACGGGCTACCGTAAATTACCTTTGGATCAAGAGGGAAACACCGGCAGACAAGATACTGGTAATCGCGCCAACACGATTACTGTTATAATCTACATACTGTGAATAAATAACTCAATGAAAATGATTCTACGAAACTAACATTTGTATCTATGCGTTTCCTGCCAGTAATTATAAACATTAACTTTGAAAGTAAAATATATTTTCTATAATTGTTATTGTGTTTGAATACGACATTATTTTGTTTAATAATTGAACAGAATTAAAAGAGGCGCACTATGCGTATGGTAATAATTAAATAATGTAAAAGTCATTGAAAACATAATCATAGATTTATGTCGGCTTATCAAAGTACAACACATGTTCTCGTAGTTATTATTAATGATTATATTGATACTGGTTTTTTGGCTGCCAGAAGGTCAGTAACCTTGCGTAACGAAATTTAGCTAAGATTTATACCAGGTAAAAATGGCTTATATATATATAGCAAAAGTGGGTTCAAAAGGGCCTGCGATTATCTAGACAGTCCCCCTTAAAAATCCTCTCTCCGCCCCCTTCCCCACCTCAAGAATTCCTGTATCCGCCAATCCATAGAATCAATATCCTATTCTTTTAATAATTGACATATAACAAAAAATGTAGGTCGTGTTTCTGGTGAATTTAAAAAAACAGTTAAGCTAAACTAATTAGGCCTATCAATACTGTCATTACTATTCTTCACTTAAATTATGTTTTGAACTTAGAGCAGCTTTAAATTGGTCTATTTGATTACAATTTGATTAGTAAAGTTATTGTATTTTTTTATGATAGGCCTATGTTAGTCAACTTTGAGAAAACAGCTTTCGAAGTTCGCTTTTTTTAGTTTCATCAATGTGCTCATCACCAACTCAAATTTATGGTATAATATAATTAAGCTTAATGGAAATTTTAAATTAATATAAAGTGATTTATTCCACATAATAGGCCTACTAACAATTTTAATGAAATTACTGTTTATACTGCTTTAACTGTTATTATGTGCATTGTTTAGAACAGGCCTATGCGAGACAAGAGGTTATGGTGGAAACAGTCATAAGCATAATTACAAATTTTTTTTACGTTTAAAGAAAAATCGACCTCAAGTATATATATATTTATATAATAAATTATATTATATTTATAATAATGTTATAAAGTCTAATTTTAGTATGAAACTCGAGAAATTGTATAAATCATTATATGTGTTTATTACATCCATGTTGATTCCGTGTCCAAGTTATGTTGGCTCAAGTTACAAATGAAAGCTTTATGTTCTGGTAATGTTTGCTTCAAAAATCAGATAACTAAAGTTGTGTATGTAAACATAGGTCTTACGTGTTTATTGAATATGAAGTTGTACAAAGTTCAATCAATGAAGATCAATAAGCGAAATCACAAGTAGAACGAATGGGTCTGTTTCAAACAATGTCAAAATGTCTTTCCTTTTAAAACAGCTATCGCCGTATATTGATTAAATTTTAAAATATAATATATAATATATGATACATAATATAATTTATAATTTATGATGAATTATTTTTTATATTATAGGTCTATACATTATCATGATTATTATTTATTAGGCCTAGTAAAGAAAGGGCCATGATGCTTTATATTAAAATACTAGTACCTGTACTGGTGTTAAGGCCAATATCGAAATTTTCTGTTGATTTGAAATAGTCATAGGTTATATAACAGGGCCTAGGCTCCATAAGACTGCACTCAACTGAAGCACATGGGACAACATTTTTTTAATGTAAATTATATTTTAATAGAGTTAGGAAAAGACATTTGAAATAGTGTATGTTCAATCATTAGCTTAGATTTTGTATAACTAATTATTACATTTATGTTTTTAGTTTATTCTTTCTGTTTCCTTAGAAATTAATTGACGCCGATGATTTTTTAAATGAACAAAATAACTTTAGCCAATTGTAATATGTAATGTTAATTTTTTTTGTTCAAATAGTAAGCAAGCTCACCAAAATATTGCTCATTTAATTTCCTCATTTTCAATTGTTCATTCAAGGAAATATCAGCCATTTATAACATGACTCTAGATACAATTCCCGGTCACAACAACCCGGTCAGCTTATAAGGGATGTCGCCTTTTCGGCTTAACTTACGCATCTCTTTTCAAAATCCAATCATAAATATCTAAAAGTAAACTGCGAAGAAAGAGAATGCTGTATAATTATTTGATAATTGACAAAACTTTAAGTTATATTGTAAATTATATTATGATTGTACAAGTTCCATTGTTGTTGAATTTTATTTACGTAGTGGAATAAAACTGAGTGAGCCTTGATAAGTGATTACAGTATTTATACTTACATATAGGACTAATAATATAGGCAAGATTGGTGGGAGGTGCATTGTCAAACAAAATATTAACAAGTAAACAAGTAACTCCAAAGATATCGTAATATTTTGATATTGAATTATTATAATTTTTATAATTAGAACATCATCTGTCCATTGTTTTACAACATTTTCGTAATAATTAGTAAAATTAAAGATTTATTTTTTTGGGTACATGAGTTAGGTAAAAATCATAAAACGAAATCGGTAGTTCAATTGAAAAATAATAAGTAAATAATACGTAGGCCTAAATGATAATGGTCTTTTTATTGAATTTCTATTCATTTATAGAGATTAACACGTTGTGACTTTCCTTCCGAAGAAGGCTATGCCTTTGTCGCAACATCAGGCTACTAAATTACACTCTCTACTTAATCCTTGCGGGTCGTACAGTAACTGCTAAGTTGTTTTATTAGTACGGCGCAAGAGAATGTTTTAACATAATGTTACAATAATTTCAACAAATCATATAACATCATGTATTGTCTCTTACAGTACATACGGATTGATTTTGGTTTACAACAAAGTAAGCCGAAATATAGGCCTATAAATTAAAAGGGTTAACGATATTATGCAGCGATTCTACAGACTGAGCCTGTCGGGAAGGCCTACAATATGGAACTATAAACCCCATTAATACAATTTTATTGCTTTGCAATTGTGCCAATAGTCGACTTATAGCTTATATTAAAGGCACTTTGATGACTGCGTCAATGTGAATAATATAGTTATATCAATATTTTCATAATCTTGTAATTGTTTTCAATATTTTTATTAATTTTCAACTTACAGAAAAGTATGTTTTAGCTTAGATTTCGTCATAAGGAATAAGGCAAACCAGCCAGCCACTGTGGTCTTCTTTCGGCTTGGAAACAGCCCGAGGCGAGGCGGTGTAACGAGTAGACGATGAAAGTGTCACATCTTTCAACTTAAAGTCACTGTAAGAGCATACGAGCAATATATTGTACACATTGTTATAACCTGATTCCTGTGAACATTCTGTAAGAAATAATTCATAGGCCTAATTATATATAAGTGTATATATATACAGTATATATATATATATATATATATATATATATATATATATATAATGTTAAATTGGTAACTGTGAAACTTATTACTGTCTCTTATACACATCTAGATGTGTATAAGAGACAGATATATATATATATATATGCTATATTCAAATTAATTAAGCTTGTATGTACGGTAATATACATATACACTCTGTTTTTTAACTATTTAAATGCGTATAATCATTGACCGACATATTGTTTTGATGGACTAAAATTCAATTATGATAATATATAAAGATTATTATATAAAGATTATCTTATATTTTAGTTGGTACAGCAGCCGAACAGTGGTTTCAAATGTACAGTATTCCAATCGGTTCTTATATATACTTATTTATATTATTGATCATAACATTATTTATTGCCAAACTCTATTCTTTTAACCTGCATAAGCCTAAATAGTACACAAAAGTTAGTTGATAATTATTATTAAAGACCTATCCCATAAGCAACTCATACAGTGTATTCTGTTTTGTTGATTTTTAATTGTTTTTATTTAATTAATATTGGATGCGTTTAATAGATATACTATTGAATATTATTAATATTACTGTTATTATCCAAGCATCTTTATTTTGAGGATTATCGTACTCGATTAGTTGAGCACAAAACTTGAACAATCAGGTAAAAATGTGCGCCATCGCCATTATACTGATCCCACCTTCATGGTACATTAGGTGCAGGTTGTCACGTGTTAATTCATTATTATGGGGTGTTCTCTTGGTGGGATGCCAGCGAATCTGTATTGTTAATGAGACGCTCTTAGTCTTAGTATATAAAGTTACTATTTATTTTGTAAATTTATTCGTTAATGATTATGTTACACAGCACCTGTGTTGTATAGTTCGATTACATTTATTTTTAGTTTTATGAATATAATAATAATATATTATTTCCTCCAACACCAAGAATACAAAGCATAAAGGAGAAACAAGTTCCTATCATCAAATGGTTCGATCGTCTTCACAAAAATGGAAACGATGAAGGAATAAAAAAGTAAACATATAAATTCTATTAATTATCCATTTTGCCGCTGAAAAAATTGCAATAGTAGGCCTACCTGTAGATATTATAAAGTGGTTAATTTAAGTTGAATTGCGTATTTGAAAGAATATTCCAAATGGCCGGTATGGTATTGAAGAGAATATTTAAGTGTATTTACAAATGTACACGGAAGGGTGGAAACTCTCTTCTTTGATTAATTTCGCAAAAAAAAAAAAATAATCGAGTCCAGTAAATACCTAAACGCAGCATACGTAGCTCTGCACTTGAAAAACAACAGAAAGAGGATATGATACTAAAAATGTATTGAACAAACACAAATAAAAGACACAGAGAAAAGAAAATGAAGATTTAACACTGGTTAAGCCTCTATATTAGAATACAATTAATATTGTGAGTTTTGGGGATTGTTTTAGGGAAGCTCATGTATTAATAAATTATAAACATGATACAGAGAATACCGGGAGCAATATCATCAATATACGATTCCATCCAATTGCTTGACATTTATTTGATAGAATATCGACACACAAACTGATCAGTAAACTTTTAGATTATTTTGATTATTAATCGTTGTTTTGTTTCCTAGACAGACTCTAGTACTGCATCAACGATAGTAAAGCGGCATACTGTCATCATATTTATTTTGTGATGATTCAGCGTTATGTTTTTTATCAAGATGCCAAATACCCGGCAGTGTCGAAATATTCAACAGCGGAACGGAATTTTTGTCCGGAGTTCAAAACGTACTGTAGGTCTGTTTATTAAAAATGTTTCCACTAAAGAAATTTGAATATATATATATGTATATATATATATATATATAAATTTATATATATATGTTACGTATATATATATATATACAAATATATATAATATAACAGGCGAAAACGCTATACGAAAGGGACACAACATTATATATATATATATATATATATATATATATATATATGACTATTAAAGATGTGTAGGCCTACAGTGTAAGTAAAGATTGGCCTCTTTTATTACATTGATAAAGTCAGTACATAACCTATGAATTTATATGAAAATATTGTATTCATTTATTTTACGTTATACAGGCCCAATATGTAAATATGATATTATTATTGGCCTTAATATTATTTTTAAAAGTGTTATTTAGTTATCCAATAGCGTTTTAAACAATCTAGTCATAGAATTAGCTTTTATTCGTTATTATTATTGATATTAGTTGGCCTGCTATTATAGTAATAATATCAGATGTTGCTGTAGTAGGCCTAGTAGTAACATTAGCAATATTATCAGCAATAGTATTATGTAGTAGGCCAAGTACAGTACGGTATTGTTTAATTCGTGTTCCATCATGAGCAGGTTGGTAAGGTACTATGTTATCTTGTTTATAATAAAATATGTACACTTATTTTCAAGAAAATAATATAATATATACTATATAAAACGTGAATAAATATTATATTTCTTTCATACCTGGCAGTAGTAACAAGTGAATACAGCTGCACCTACGATAAATTAGAGAAATGACCACAGTGTTTGGTAGAGAAGCTGATTTCCTGACCAACACCACCAGGCATCAGCCTCCTGCTTCAGTATTGTCCTAGCCTGGGTAATTAAAACACATTACTAAATTATTTCCATAAAATATATATGTAAAATGTGTGCGAATATGAGATTGGAAAAAATTAAACATGGAAATCATTATAATCAATCAAACTTATGTATGTTATAAATAATGATACCTACCTAGTGTATTTAGGCTCACCTTGTAATTATTTTATAATTGATTTAACTTTTCAATTTTATTGCTGTTTAGAAAAAAAATAATAATTAATACCTTCGTGTTTAAAAAATGAATGAAATTCAAATAAATTTGCTAGAACGCATTGATAATGTAATAACTTCTTATTTTTAAACAAATAAAATAGAAAATGCCGAACAATTTCAACAACGATCGACACACACACAAACACATGTACCCCATTAGGGTCCTCTGTCAGTATTCATTCAGATCTAGATTCAGAACTTGTTGTACAAAAAAGTGTGTTTAGAATAATTGTCCCAAAAAATCTGAAAGGTTTTTTCCCCCATTTATTTGTTCGTTATTAAGTTGCCTTTAACCTATCTAGGTATCTATTTATAGAACAAAAATCACTTATGCTATGTATATGTAGTATTATCAGGCTGTTTATCTTACATTTTTATTTTTTTTTTATTTTATTTCAATTAGATTCACATCCAACAACAGGAAGCTCACTAATTACAAAATAGAACACCTTCAAAAACACAAATAATTATTTCATTAGGCCTAAGGAATGAAAGTAATAAACATATGATAATTCAAGCGTTAATAAAACAACAACGTAAAAAACTAAGACTGAAATGAATGAAAGCTAAACCTTTATCAGAATTTAAACCAGGACCTTTTGCACATGTCGTGTAAGCATAGAAGCTTTCGTCTATCGTTGGATTAGTGTCAACAAAGATACAATTTATTTACAGTCGTTCAAGTTCTTTTATTTTTCCAATAAGTATAAATATTCTTAAATGCAAATGAAATACAAAAACCAATATAGGAAGAAGCTGGAAAATAGTGTAAACATTAATTCCAGCCCCTTTACACAAAACAATTACATTATTTAATGTAGGGCTATAGGGCATAACCTATTTTTTTTTGTTATGATACAATGCGATATGAAAAAACGGTTACAAATACAGCTGAGATATGATTACTTAATACACTTAAATTAGTAGAAATAAATAGAAAGTGTAAGGTATGTATACAAACAAAATAATACTGTACTTTTACATAATTTCGGGACAGATTCATTAAACTTCTACTAACAAAAAAAAATCAATGAGATGAGCGAATTTCAGCGATGAGTAAGTGAATGCCAGTTAAAAAACATACTAACTTAACGGTTAAATTCTCTATAACAGCTGATGGTGTTTATTGGATAAAATTCATATACGATACAAAGAGAGAACGAATATTGGCATTAGCAGTTTAAATCTAAATAAGATTGTCATTACAACTTAGAGAGTCCGCTGCATGTGCATAAACCTCAATAATCATGATAATTGTTTACATATTTTTTTTTTTTTAAAGTCAACCAAACGTACAATAATCCATGATTGTCACCTTTGATTATCAATTTGTTTTGAATACTTGTTTTGAATTAAATACTGTAAACCATTGACAATCGATTATAAAGTTACATTTAAAAACATATTGGTCAACGATATTAAACAGACGCTTTAGCTTGAGGGTAAATATTTGCCTTCCGATCCTAGAGGCATTAGTTGAAATCCTAAAAACACCAGGGAATAGGACTTTGCATTGCAAATATACGATTCAGATACAAAATGGCGGCGTAGAATGGGAGGCGGTTAAGAAATTTGCCATCATATTTCCGAGTCAGACGTTAGACATTTCTTAGTCTGACAATGCGGCTTCGTTCTATCATGTTGAGGGGTGTTCAATGTTTAAGAAAGTGCATATAAAAGTTTAGATTCAAATTGATTTAACTTTGTTTAGTTCATTAAAATTTGAAGAAACCAGTTTAGCGATCATAGACTAGGACGGTTTGAAAACTATTTTATTGCCTAATTTTGTGCCATACCTTCTAAAAATCCTGAACGAAACATAGTAGCGGTAATATTTTCAATTATTGACATATTCTATAAATTTATGATACATTTTGTTGCGCTGTGTTTTTTGCTCACATTGTTATATTTTGCTACACACAATAGTTTTCGTTATTTTGTTGCACATTGTAATGCTGGTTTTTTTTTTTAAATATTGCAATTTTACACAATTTAATCTTATGATAGTTTACTATTGTAATGTTGCTTTGCTACACAGTATATTTATGTGTTTGCTACACGTTCTAATGATATGTTTGTTTGCTACATATTGTAGTGTTGTGTTAGTTTGCTACACATTATTATGATGTTTTATTTCTACATATTGTAATACTGAGTTTGCTAATTTTACACAATGATAGCTTACTATATTTTGTAATGTTGTTTTGGAGTATACTTATGTGTTTGCTACACGTTTTAATGATATGTTTGTTTATTACACCTTGTAGTGTTGTGTTTATTGCTACACATCATCATGCTGTTATATACACATAATTATTGTAATGCTTTTTTGCAACACATTATGTTTGCAGTTTGTTACTATACATTGTAATGATATGTTTGTTTGCTAAACAGTTCTATATTGTATTAGTTTGCCAAACATTGTTCATACACTATGTAATATTGTACTAGTTTGCTACCCATTGTGATCTTATTTTGTTTTGCTACACAATATAATTTTGTTTTTTCACACATTGTAATGTTACGTTTGTGCTCTATGTGGGTGTTAGTTTGATATACATTATAATGCTATTTTTGTTATTCACAGGCCCTTGTGTTTGGTTGTAATATTGTATTCGTTTGTTAAACATTGTAGTTACTTTCTATAAAAATTATAATATTTACACATTGTAATATTTTTTAGTTTGTGACACAATGTAATGCGCTGTTAGTTTGCTACACATTGCAATGATGCTAGTTTGCTACGTATAGCTATATTATGTCACTTTACTACACATAGCCTATGCTACTTCCACACAAAAGTAAAACAACAATAATATTGCCTACAATTCATATTTTAATCATTGGTGCTTCATTTAAATTTTAGAACTAACGCGGCACTTCATCAATATCATTAAGGTTACAATTTTGCAATGTTGCTGAGCCAATATTTGCGTAATGTTAAGTTTTAATTTAGTATTTTCACTTTTTCATTTATTCTTAATAAGTAATATAGCATTCTTATTCAGATTATGTTTCTGTTATTATTGTCAGTGTTGTTTATCGTGTGATGTGTTTTCAAATAATTCTACAATATTTGAATACTGCATGTATAAATTATCTTAGATTAACCCTACAATTCAATCATCTACAATATCTCCGTGTTTCGATTTTTATATTCTAAAATAGTATCAGATTAACATGGAAACATATCACAAACGAATACTTACATTTGATGCGATTCTAAATCATACAAATTTGTATTAGAATCAATTTTCCAACTAGAAGTTTAGAGTATCTCAAGTATTATGTTAATTTGGTTAGCATAACTTAATCAAACATTCAGCATAAGAAAAGTTATAATATATAAATATTCATACTGCAAGTGCAAAATAACAAGCAAACGGAAAGTCTTAAGGAGCTCCACAATCAACATGGAAACGAGTACTGTAGGTGTACTATGTTATATCTATTCTATAGATAGTAAGATATAAGATGACCGTGCTAAATCGTTTTAGATACACTGTATAAGGTATAAACAAATGAATAAGGTATGGACAAATTATATATAAAACAACTTCTGTCTCTTATACACATCTAGATGTGTATAAGAGACAGATATTAAAAGTATTGCTTAAATACGATTTTAGAACAGTTTATTTATTAAAATGAAAACATACGGTATGTTAAATGAATGTACATTGCGTACGGTGTTTTCTAATATACCACTTACCATACCCACTCAGCCTAAACAGAGATTCAAACAAACATGTGCGCAACATTTTGCCATTATTCTTGAAGTAATACATTGCAACATTAGTACTAGTCATCCAAAATGTATCGAGTGTTACAAACTGGTCGATTGCGATGAAAGAATACACTGTGACTTCCTCTTAGTTGTTCTTATAAATATGAGGAAGTTATAGCGAGTGTTAAAATTTTGATGGGCTCGACCTTATTGATCCAATCTAACATTTTGCTTTCATGCGATAATAAAGATCTTGCATTATCTTTAACATCTACCATTTTGTTTTTAAGAGCAATGTCATAGCCGCGCGTAAAATCATACTTAAAAATTAACGAGTACGCTGAATATCCGCAGCTTTACGATATGTTTCATAGTGTCTATAAAACATCGTTTCGCTATACGTCAGTGAAGTAGCAATAAAACTTGCTTGCAAAAATATGATGTGATATCAATGGAGAAGAAACAATTAGTTGATACATTATTTAATAAGAGTACATTATCATTTTATGTTTTAGCTCTAATCAAGAGACGTTGCGGCTGATATGCGGAGACAAATGAGGAGTTAGCGCAGATAGCAGTGATGTGTTATGATGTTATTGTCAACATAATGCTTGGTAGAAGCATGGAGATAATTATAATTGTTAGAGTTTGGTTATAAAAAGGACGATTTGATTTAAGTTGCCGCAAAATGGCGTGAAAAATCAAACTTCTCTACAATGTCTCATTACTGATTTTAATAGTGGCAATATTCTTTTAAGACACCCAGGTGCTGCAACGTCCGTGGTGGTAGGTTGGACGGAGCATTTTGTCGGCACCTTACATCCTCCACGAGTTAATCTTTTCAGCGTTAACCGACGGTCTTTATGGATGTTTGATTATCAATACTTGACCCTCGTACGTTGGCACATTATAGACACCGAACATTTTATGGAAATTCGTAAATACCAGCGTTTGTTATTGAATATTTTGTATGTACTCGAATAAAAAGAAGACCAGGAAATGATACTAGATCGTTACATTCCAATCATCGAATTTCGATATACTTTTCACATAAAATGCATAATAATACTCACACAGGCCTAATCCAGAAAACTTTGTAACCTGTGATAGAAATTCCCAGAGAAAGAGTATGTTAAGACGACCTTCTTTACAATAGGCATAAATAATTACCTAGGTCTATTTTAAAAATCCTAATTTATGTTCGCATTTTATGTGAGGAACATTATGAACAGATGAGTGTCGGACTAATGAATATTAACTTAATGTGTATTTCATATTCTATGCATAAGCTATTACCAATTGAGGTCACAGACTTTAGTCTTTTTTTGATAATCCTAAATTTTAAAATACTGTAGTAACATTTTTAACGATTTACCTGACTGGAGATTATCTATAAATCATCTTATTATTTGGAACATTTTTAATGAAAACTACTTACTTGAATTACAAATTGAATGGTGGTTTTTGCTATATGAGTACACCTAATACGAATAACAATAGTAGTCTATTTAGTGTCCAATAGAACTTTTTAAAATACTAACAATTATAATATTAACACTTAATTGTTTTGTTCTTTTTTATGTACAGTACATTAAATCGTTATCGTCATTGTCATCATCGTTGTTGCTATTGGTGTGGATTTTATTAATATTACTACCATGCTATTTGTATTGTTATTGAAAAAAATATAGTATTAATGTTGTTACTGCTGGAAACTATTTAACATTTATTGCCATATTATTATATTATATTATAATAATGATAATATGATACCGTATTACTTCAAGCTTTATCTGTAAAAAAAACCTATTTATTTCTTAAAGTAATTGGAGACAACATTTTAAAATTCCGTAAAGAATTACTAAATGTGCTAACTTATTATAAGATATAAAATAAAAACAATTAAAAAAAATCTTTATTTGCAAATATTATTAGGCATGGATTATGGTTTGGCTACAGTTGATAAATTATTAATTAATTGACTTGTTTTAATTGTGTTTTATGTTAATCTCTGCAATATTGTAATTTCACGTGGAGATACCTGTATATGAAATCTTGAACTTTCAATGTAATCAGAGAATAAAGGCAGATTATTCAAAGGCGGCTATGTTCCATTATGAGTAACTGTTATTCAATTTACTATAATCAAATAATTCACCAGGCTATCGAATAGTAGGAAGAGCTGACCACTTAGACGAATTCAATTTTAGCTGTTCATTTTTTCCGAGTGACCAATTACCCCATATTGTAATCTAAAGTCAGTTAATTTGATAGTGTGGAAGACTACTTAAGCCTTCCGGGTACTCTCAACGTTCATTTGGGTGATTCATTTTAATCAGCTTTGAGGAGAAACATCAGTGTGAATACGGAAATGAATTAATACTCCTTTGAAATTAAATGATTGAACGAAATTGGGGAGGGGGAATATATATTTAGCATTACAGGTCGACTTTTTCTCATATGTTCATATCGTTGTACCTTACTTTGTTATCGTGATAATACTGTATTTTTGGTTTATTAATCTACTATATGCCTAGGTAAAGAGGCCTAGCTTATAATGATGTTATCAAGAAGCTACTAAGTTAAGCTATAGTTATATGTGCTAGTTTACTATTTGTTCAAAACAACATAAGTGTCATTTTTCAATAATTGAGAAAATATACCTCTTGTTTTATACGGTATAGAAAGAATTATGAAAAGTGATAATAAACGAATAAAATGAACACACAAAAATATGTTGATAACTTGAAATATGTATGATATATGGAGACGTTACACGCCAGCCCATAAGAATTATTTCACATATTTTGCTTTTATTGTAAATTCATTATATAAAATACGGTAACGTTTATAACAATTTCCTCATGGAGAGGAGGCTGTAACTTGCTGGTTAAATTGCTTGACTTCCAATCTAGGATACTTGGTTCAAATCCTGTCTCACCAAGCAATCCATCTCCCTTTTCATGTTCATGTATTGCATTGATATGAACTGGCAGTAGTTTATTTTAAAATAAAATTTGAAGTGAATTGCATTGGATATTATTTGTATATTTTAATTAACACAAATTGAATATCAAGCGTCTAAAGATATTTCATGAATATCCAATTATGAATATGTACAGTAACCAACTTCACACCGGTGGCTTTGTGTTAGGCTTAGGCTTTTTTTTCGTAATAAAAAATGATAGTGTCCCACATGACTTGAGCTAAAGACCCTTGGATCGGCAGTCAAACAGCTTAAGAACAAAACAACATACTTTACAACACGACAAATTGAAATGGCAATCAGCTTGACCAGTGTATTAGGCCTAATTATGTTATGACTTTTTTAATTGCTACAGCTTTAGGTCACCAATGATAGACGTTTGACAAAACTAAATTAGACTGTGCAGCTAAACTCACATAAATTTGGAATCAACAACAAAATAAACCTAGAATTCTTGTACAGCATATTAAGCTTTCACAAAATAGAGTACCGGTACCTTTCCTAGTGATACCGACTGCTATATTATTATATTTTGTTAATTATCCTCTGATCTTTAGACCACCGTATAACAGTTTGTATTCCAGGACTAATTAAAAATGCTAAGGTTCATTTGAGATTACTCTTTTACAAAATAAAGTGTTCCTACTGTGTTTTATTAATTATTTTCTGATATTTAGACCTTAGCTCAACTATGGTAACAGTTTGTAATTCTGGATGTTTTCTATATATACCCATACATTAAATAAGACATAGATTATTTAATGTATATATAGAAAACATACATTAAATAATGCATATTTTCTATATATTATAATTATTTTAATATGACAGGAATATAAAGGTTTTTTAAATTAAATAACTAAGGGGTAATGCTTATAAAAGTGGGCCTGACTTGCATGCACCATTAAGGGATGTGTATGTTCATTTATTTATTTCTATGTGAATAACAATAATTTAGATACCGTGAAAAATAAAGGTTTGTTCATCTTAGCGTATAAATCATAAATTTGACATATATACTATGATAGAAAGATTGTACATACAGTACTAAAATGCAATGTGTTTATTTTTTTTTTATTGTGCATTTAAAAATGTAACGAAATTGAGTGGGCCCACAGGTAGAATCTAAATAGTTGTGATCCAAGTAATAAAGAAAATTGAGGATGTTTTAAATAAGTTGAAAACAATAATAATTGACGGATACTCATCCACTCACTGAACAATTTCAATTTAACCGATAGGGTTGTAGTATAAGCCTAGCTGCCCAACTTCCCCGCCATGATCGCCACATAGAGCAGTTTGTGGCAAACTGTTTATTTCCGTAAGCATCGTACAAACTGCTGTAAATGTAACAAATAATTTGCACTAACAACACATTTTTGAATATTTTATTCAATAATTTGTATACAGTCCTATTATTTTTTTCAATTCTTATGTATTTTAATAACTTTTCTTTCTTGGGACACCATTGAATAAGACCTGGTTATTTGCAGGTTAATGCGGGCTACTCGGTATTCGTTAAGTATTGTAATCATTTTCATTCCCATTGTTGTTGTTTTAATTCTCGGAATGAGTGTCCAATACATCATATACACTATTGATTGTTTTTCAATTATTGTATTTTAAATGTTTTATTATTCAAAAGAACATTTAATTATTAATTGTAAAGTATATACCTTCATTCCGTCTGGACCCTTGGTCATCATGAGTAAGCCTACTCAACTAATATTCAGAATGTTATTCGTTATTTTTGCAATTAACTATATTTGTATGTAGGCCACGATTAATAATTTATAATGAGGTGTTTAGCAACCATTTTTTTATTCAGTTTAACTTGATATTACAGTATTATTAGTTTTTTTTCGATGTTTATTTTTTTATTTTTTTTTTTATATTAATGTTTTATCCTTTCCGCTTTTGGTAGGAAGTTTATTGACTAAGTTTAATACTAAGCTATTAAAGTACAAAAACCTTTAGTAAAACTTCTTTTTTTTTTGTGAAAATTGTCTATTGACAAAAACGTATTAACTTTTTATTTTATCAGTCTTTTGTACTATTATGCCTGTACCCTTTTACCTACTCGGCACTATTGATATTAAAGGGAATCCCCAAAAAGGTATCCAAATTGCATTGACAACATTTATTTGTCGGCGGTGTTCAAAACATTTAGGAAGTGATCATTATTGCGGCGGTCAGGGTATCCTGTACTGGACTTTTGCTTGTTGGATTGTAATTGTCGTTTACGATTCTCAATTCAATTCAGAAGAAAGCTTCAAAAGAGACCGCATAAACATTGCAAACACTTTCGTCATAACTAAGAGGTAATTAAAAGGGAAAGGGAAGCCCTAAAATGAAGGTTGCATTAGCAAGAGTAGCTTGTATTCGAAGAGTTGGCAACTACTTTCTATTTTATTATTTCCAGATATTCTGTATACTAAAAGAAAAACACTGAAATACGCCAATACACTAACAATAGTATATAACACTCTCTTGTACGAAT